GCAAGAACCAGTGCACGGGATAGCCAAGCCCACGCTCATGGAAGGCGAGGAAGGAGACGACCTCGTCGGCCCGGGGTTATAGAACAACTTCTCCTAGCACAGGAGCCCTCCAATGCGCCACCTCCTTCGATGGGAGCAGACCCTTCTCGGCGAAGGCGGGCAGCACCTCCCCATCCACGTTGGAAGGCCTCTAGTTCGACATCGTGCCTCGGATTTACAAACAAATCTGTGAGTTCTCCTCTCCCTCGCTCTACCCACCTCTCTCCTAGAAACCACCGCGGTACACGAACAAACTTGGTGAAAGGATGGAAGGAGGAACGACAGCGGTTGGAGGAAGGCAAAAGAACGGGAGGAAAATCCTCTCCCTTCCCCCTATTTAATGTGGAAAAGCGTGCGGCGAGACGTGGCCCTGGCTGATGGGAGGCGCCCTGCCTGATGAAACATCGCCGGGTTAGCGGGATGTGGCCTAGGCAGGGCCCACCACTACCATAGCCCAGGAGTGGGAAATAAGGCGCAACTGCACGCAAGCGATCCTCCGCCTTCCCAGGCAGGATTTGGAAGGGCCCACCAACGAAATCTCCATCGAGGAGAGGCCAACGGGTCACCCGAGTCGATTAGACGGCTTGGGCAGCTATCGAGAGACAGGTAAGGAGCAGCGGGATGCCTCATGCGGGTTATGCCGACCCCGTCACGAACGACGGACATGGATCACATTCGGACATATCCGATAGGAGCTCCCCAGACCCGTCACTCGAGCCATCGAGGTAACCTTACCAAACACCTTTTTTGTTTTCTAATGCATAATCATTCATTCATTCATTCTCATGCATGCATTCATACATTCATCCATACATCCAAGTATTGCATATGCAGTTGTTGCATCACAATGCTTCGCATTGTGTCATGAAGCGGTAATTGCCTCATTCGATATGAGCGACGACCGATCGAGGTTCGAAGGTCGACCCACAAAAGGCTTCAGGCCGCCTCGCATCAAACAGAGCCAGGGGAGAAAACACAGATGAGCCCTAGCAACCCTCGCCCGATCTGCTCAGAAGCGGACAGGGTCATCTCGACCTTCTCGTTCGATCCTGACCTCGAGCTATGCCCATAGAATCTCCAGCGAGGAGAGGCCAGCGGGCCACCTAAGTCGGTCTTTGGAATGGCTCGGGCATTTGTCGGGAGGTGGGTTAAGGAGCAGTGGAATGTCACATGAGGGCTATGCCGATCCCGTTACGAATGACGGACCCGAATTCCACTCGGACGTACCTGTTATTAAGCTCACCGAGCGCGTCACTCGAGCCATCGAGGCAAGCGATATTAGCTCAACCCCTTTGGTTGCGGAAACCACGGACGGGGTAACGCATGAAACTAGACCGACCCCTTGGCCGCGCGCCGACACTTGGGTTGACGCTCCGTCTCGCACGACCCCTCGGCCACGCCCGACACTTGGGGTTGGCGCTCCATCTCGCCTGACCCCTCGGCCGCGCCCGACACTTGGGTTGACGCTCCATCTCGCCCGATCCCTCGGCTGCGCCCAATACTTGGGTTGACGCTCCGTCTCACCCGCCCCCACGTCCGCGCCTGACACTTGGGTTGGCGCTCCATCTCGCCCGATCCCTCGACCGCGCCCGACACTTGGGTTGGCGCTCCATCTCGCCCGACCCCTCGGCCGCGCCTGACTGTTGGGGTTGGCACCCAACACTTGGGTTGGCGCTCCGTCTCGCCCGACCACCCGGTCACGCCCGACACTTGGGTTGACGCTCCATCTCGCCCGACCCCTCAGCCGCGCTCGACACTTGGGTTGGCGCTCCGTCTCGTCTGACCCCTCGGTCACGCCCGACACTTGGGTTGACGCTCCGTCTCGCCCGACCCCTCGGCCACGCCTGACACTTCGGGTTTGCGCTCCGTTTCATCCGACGGCGACCCACAATCTTACACCCAAAAGGGCTCGAGGGCTCCTGTCGGGTTCATAAACCCGAGGTCCCTAATGGACCCGCTTCCCAGCAAAAACTTGGCCCAGCAGATGGCGTAGCGACAACGCGCGCCTCCCGGCCCGGCCTAGATACCTAATGATAGACCGGGAGAACGATTCGGTCCCCGACCGGAAGGCCTGGCCAAGGTGGGGACATAGTCTGACTCTGACCTTCTTTTTCGACCGGGGATACGCTGAATCTCTGCTTGCAGCTTTTCCCTGACCGATACGGTCGGGGTCGACTAGGAACGACCGACCGGGGACACCTGCTCGGTAAGGGCTCGGGGATCAAGCGGAGCAGATAAGGTAAGCCGCTCAAGTCAAACTGCAATACCGAGGACCGTACCCTACCATATCCTACGCACCTGTAGGACGGTGTCACCAGGCCATGCCACATAGGCACTATGCAACCTTCCAGGTGTGTCAGAACCCAAATAGTATTGTAGGCGCCGATATTTGACATACTAGACGAACACGGTAGAGCCTGCCACATGCATCTGGACATAAAACAATATTGTGGGCGTCGACAATCGTCTCGTACTCGACAGCGTGGGCAACAAGACTAGGTAGCACACGTATACATTCTCTCTCTTTCTCTGACTTGTAAGAGTCCATCCCCTTCGACTATAAAACGGGATGAGCACTCTCCTAAAAAGTGAGATCTGGCTATTCTGACGCTGGCTATTTCTGGCTCTCCTCAAAAAAGAAAAGCTGGACGATTCAAGTACTCGAGGACCCAAGAACTCGAATAGCTCAATAGCTCTAAAACTCTAAACCTTCACAGAGCATACGCTCCAATACTTAGCGCACGTTAGAGGCCCTGTCACTCTCGGCCCTTCGGTTCAGAGTTCGACCGGGCCTTTAACACCCATCTTCTAATTCCTACTCGTTTATAACCCCACAACAAACTTCGAGCACCTGGACTTAGGAATAAAGTCTCCGACCGACTAAAACTGGACGTAGGACACGTTGTCTGAACCAGTATAAATCATGTGTCATTGAGTGTTAGGCCACATCCGATTACAACACACGGTAAAACTACAAATATTTACTTGTTGGTCATTTTTTGCACCGACAACAGTACTCTCAGAATTTATTTGAATTTGCAATTCATAGAATTTGTTTGGGGGTTTTGTGTTTCATAGAAATTTTATGTTCTTTGTACTTTGTTTTTTTATTTGATTTGCTTGGTTCATGCAATGTCCTCATATTATTTTTTATTTTTGCAATCCATAGAAATTTTTAGTTCTTTGTACTTTGATTTTTTTTGATTTCTTTGTATTTGTAATAATTTTTTTATATTATGTTTATTTGTTCTTGTTTTTCTTTGTCCTAATTCATGGTGGATGTAGGTGTTGCATAATCTGAGTGGTATTAATGTTTGTTTCACACGAATTTAGCTTGTTTTAATTTTCGAGTGATTTAGCCTTTATGATTACTCGTGTGACCATAGGTCTCCAGTCACTCAGATTTTCATTTTTGTTTCATTTTTGTAATTTGTTTCCTCAAATTGCTTGAGTGATCGGAGAGAATAGATCACTTGAGTTCCAGATAGACAGATCCTTAAATTTAAACAAAGTATGGACCCAAGATAAAGTGGATTCAAGCATCAATGTAAGACAATATTACGACAACTCCAAAATAATGACGCCAGTATTAGCAGAACAGATAGGTCCGAAACTGGCAGGTTATAACACAACCACTTTGTTAGGGCCTTGTTTAGATGAGTGTTAGGAATCAGAATTTGACATTGTAGCACTTTCGTTTGTATTTGACAATTATTGTTCAATCATGACTTAATTAGGCTTAAAAGATTCGTCTCGTAATTTACAATCAAATTGTGTAATTAGTTATTTTTTATCTACATTTAATACTTTATACATGTGTCAAAGATTTGATGTGACGGAGAGAGAGTGAAAAAACTTGAAATCTAAACAAGGCCTAGTACTCCTATTAAATAGGATTCTAACTGCTCACTCCGCATGTGCTGCTCATAGCATATAAGGGCGTGTTTGAGCATGCAATATATTTTAGGAAAAAGTTCACATTACCTCCTTTAATTTTCGTGAAAATTCGTTTTTCCTCCTTGAATTCTAAAACCGGGTAAAATACCTCCCTCAACTTTTAAAACCGTTCATCTTACCTCCCTGGCTCTCATATAAGCAGTTTTGAAGGCGGTTTTGTCTTTTTCTTTTTATTTATTTCGGTTGAATCTTTGAAAAATCATAGTAAATCACAGAAAGATCATAAAATGAAAAATCCAATTTTGTTGGACTCCACATGAGTAGATCTACACAGTGAACATATAATATGATATGTTTTAGTACAAAGTTTTTGTTGTGGCTTTAGATCTATGTTTTTCTGTAATTAATTGTAATAATTTACAGTTGCAGTTTTCTATGATCTAATTGTGACGAAATTTTTATGGTGGACTAATTATTGTATAATTGAATTATAGTAAAAATTTTATACTCATTGGATCATGTATAGCTTAGTTATAGATTTATTTATATTTAATAAGCATAAACCTAAATAAAATCTATAACTAAGTTATACATGATCCAATGAGTATAGAATTTTTACTATAGTTTAAACATATAATAATTAGTCCACCATAAAAATTTCACCACAATTGGACCATAGAAACTACAGCTATGAATTATTCCATTTAATTAAAAAAATAAATCTAAAGGTACAACAAAAACTTTGTACTAAAGTATACCATATTATATGTTTACTGTGTAGATCTACTCATGTGGAGTCCAACAAAATTAGATTTTCTATTTTATGATTTTTCTGTGATTTACTATGATTTTTTAAAAATTTTGCCAAAATAAATAAAAAAGATAAAATCGCCTTCAAAACTGCTTATAACCAGGCCAGATGAATAGTTTTAAAAGTTGAGGGAGGTATTTTGTCCGGTTTTAGAGTTTAGAGAAGAAAAACAAAATTTTACAAAAGTTGAGAGATGTAACGTGGACTTTTTCTACACTTTACATTTACAAAACCATTTAGATCTTCTCTTGGAATGGCTCTAAAAGGGGTCATCCAAGCGGGCCCTTACTGCAGCCCATCATCAGCCTTCCAGGATCGGGCTAAGAGCCATACAGCTACCCGGCCGCAGTGGCCGAGACGGAAGCCCAACCCGCTCGCACGCACGCACGCGCGACTCGAGGCCATCGCCCTCCTTCGCCCGCAGGCCTCACCCTTCCTCCGTCCCTCCAGATCGAACCAAAGAGGAGGCAGCAACCACCGCACGCCACTGCGGCGCCAGGAGCTCGCAGAAGCACCGCCCCGCGAGAGGGAGGCCAGAGCAAGGAGGAGATCCGGCGGCAGAGCAGGTCGGTCGGAGATGGGAGTCCCGGCGTTCTACCGGTGGCTGGCGGACCGCTACCCGCTGACGGTGTCGGACGCGGAGGAGGAGGAGCCCGTGGAGCTCGAGCCCGGCGCCTTCGTCCCCGTTGACCTACGCCGCCCCAACCCGAACGGCCTCGAGTTCGACAACCTCTACCTCGACATGAATGGCATCATCCACCCCTGCTTACACCCCGAGGGCCGGGTACGCATTCAATCCTGCTCGTTCGATTCCGGCCCCCGAACCCCTACCCAGTGTTTGCTTAGCTCTCGATCTCACGGCCTCGGTTTTCCTCCCTGCAGCCTGCGCCCACCACTTACGACGAGGTGTTCAAGTCGATTTTGATTACATCGACCACCTCTTCGGCCTCGTCCGCCCCAGGAAGCTCCTCTACATGGCCATTGGTGAGTCACTACTACAGTGCCGCTACTTTGTCACGTAGATGATGTTGCCCTGAGTAACAAGGCTTGTTCAATTTTTGTCACGTAGACGGTGTTGCTCCAAGGGCAAAGATGAATCAGCAGAGGTCCAGGCGATTCCGGGCTGCTAAGGACGCAGCTGATGCGGTAAGGCTACAGCTGTTGTGGTTGTTTGGCTTGAGCAGGTGGTGGCAGATGTTCTCTCATGTTGCGTTTACTTTGCTAGGCAGTGGAGGAGGAGAGGCTGAGGAAGGAGTTTGAGGCAGAGGGTAGGACTCTAGCCCAGAAGGAGAAGTCGGAGGCAATCGACTCCAATGTCATTACTCCAGGGACGCAGTTCATGTTTGTACTATCTACGGCGCTTCAGTACTACATACAGTTGAGGCTGAATCACACGCTTGGATGGCAGTCTGCCAAGGTGTTTACTATGCTGGTTTGGAATTATAAATTTGTTTTCAATCCTAGTTAGGTATTAACCGAGATGTGCACTGTGTGTATTTTTCAAGATAATATTGTCTGATTCCAATGTCCCTGGAGAGGGAGAGCACAAAATTATGTCATACATCCGCCTGCAGCGTAATCTTCCTGGCTTTGATCCCAATACGCCGCCATTGCTTATATGGCCTGGTAAGTTTACTTCATTTTTAAACTACTAGTGGTTTCTGTTTAAGCTAAATCTGTTACGTTACCCACTCTATTCTCCAGGATGCTGATTTGATTATGCTTGCTCTAGCAAATCACGAGATCCACTTCTCAATTTTAAGAGAGGTAAAACTTCTTATTGTTCTTTGTTGGAAAGTATATTTATACACATCTAGCTAGGGCCAAGTTCTGGACTCTAATTTTGTCATCTACATGGTAAATTAGGAGTAATCCTGTAATTACAATTTCAATGTTGGTCCTCGCCTCTCACTGCATGTAAGCAACTTGCTTACCTCACACACACACTCTCACTCACTATGGCTAGAGGTAGAAGAAGGGGTTGAGCTCAAACACACACAACACAAGCACCAGCGTTGACCGTAGCTCTGCTCTTTTGGTATGTGGCAACCGAATCCGCCTTTTCTCATTGCATAGTGGTAGAATATATACAACTCATGTACCAACTATAAGGTACACATGAGCATGGCCGAAAGTACACATTAACTACTCCTAGTACTACAAGTACCTTGCTTAGATCAGCCCACTACCAACATGGCTGATGTAGTTTCTACCAACTACTAGTACTAAACGGCCTAATGCCTTACAAGCTACAAAGACTAGAGAATGGATGTACCATGTTTGACTAGTTCCTAATCCTAATCTGCAAGAAAAGAGAGATTGGGGCAAAGCAGATTATGTCTTACAATTCTTCCCATAATCCTGCTTTGCTAACCGTAAGCCTTGACCTCATCCATGCCAATCATCTTCCTCGGCTCCATGAACCGCAGCGCCCGAAAGTGACTTGGTGAGGATGTCGTGAGTCGTCTGCCGGTCTCGACAAACTCGATGACGATCGCCCTCCATCGATGTAGTCCCGGAGGAAGTGGAACTTGATGTCAATGTGCTTGCTCGGTCGTGGAGGATGTGGTTCTTGGCGAGGGCAATGGAGGGTGATTGTCCACCATCGAGTGGGCGGAGAGCTTCCTCGGCAGTCGGCTCGCCAAGAACCGACGACGCCTAGACTTAGACAAACTTAGCACGTCATTGTGGTCACTGCGGACGTACTCGCGCTCACGCCGACAAATACACAATCTTCGCTTCAACATTGCCACCGTAGATGAAATTTGCTCCAAGAAAGACAAGCACACCAGAGGTGCTCCGTCGCCTGTCGATGTCGCCCGCCATGTTCAAGGCCGAAAATGAAGGAGCTCTCGGCCACCTTCCTTTGCCTTGGGGGGTGCCTCACCGAAGACCGTGAGCCGCAGCCCACCCTTGCCGCCACTCTTGGGGAAGATGATCGCTTGATCGAGCGACACCTTGACGTAGAGCAACAGCCTCTTCATTGCCGTCTAGTGGTCTTCACGCGGGTCCTCCATGAAATGGTTGACATCCAACCGCGAACGCAATGTCCGGCCGGGTATGAGTGAGGTAGCGCGTCGCGCCCACCTTCGCAGCGGTCTTGTGTTTGTTTGCTCGCCTTCTCTGCCGCTCCTCCATCGGAAGTCGCGCGACGGCTTGCACTCGCCATGCCGTCGCTTTCGGCGACTTTTCTCCGCATAGGCTCGCTGCCCGTGGAGATGCTCTCCTTCCTTGCTTCACCTCGATGCCGAGGTAGTAGTAGGAGCGCGCGTCGAGATCGCTCATCTTGAACCGAGTACGCCATCTCGCTTTGAATTGATCGATGTCCTCCGCACGCGCACCGGTGGCAATCAAGTCATCCACGCATACGCCCGCCACCGAGCTCCTCCTCCTTCCCCGCCGCCGCGTGTCTGCAGTAGCGTGTTACGTGGCGCCGCGAGTGAACCCATGCTTTCGCCCAAGGTGGCGTCGAGCTTGGCGTTCCACGCCCGAGAGGGCTCGCCGGCCTGTAGCGCGCCTTGCACGCCTTTTGAGCACCTTGTGCTCGGCGCCCTTTGACGGCGGGTTTGAAGCTTGCTTGACGAAAGACTGTCTCGTGAGCTTGCCGTTGAGGAACGCAGACTTGACGTCGAGGTGGTGGACGCGCCAATCCTTCGCTGCTGCCATGGCCAACAGCAAGCGAACGAACTCCATGCGCGCCACCGGAGCGATGACTTCCTCGAAGTCGATGCCCTCGCGTTGGCGGTTACCGCGACGACAGCCGAGCCTTGTACTTTGACAATGGCGCCAAGGCCGTCTCCGCTTCACCTTGTAGACCCACTTCAACCCAATCGGCCTGCGGCCTTTCATCGGTGGATCCACCAGCTCCCATGTCCCATTGTCCTCGATCGCCCTTATCTCCTCCAACATCGTCCGACGCCAATTGGCGTCGCGTTCAGCCACTGTGAACGTCGGCGGCTCTTCAGCGCTGACAATGTTGTCCACCCGCCTGAACCGAACCTCCTCGCCATCATGGAAAGCATCCACGAACTCGTCGATGTCGGTGGCTGGTGATGCGAACTCATGGGGGGGTGTCCCTGTCTTTGTCGTCGCGGGGACTGTGTAGTGGAGGTGAATGCGCCGCTGCCGGTGGAGATCGCTCTCTAGCAAAGACGACCGCTTCCAGCGCCATCATCTCCTCCTCCTTGGATCACCAGGTGCTCGACAGCAAATGTACTGCTGACACCAGTAGCTTCCCCGGCGCCTTGATCCTCCCAATCCCAAGCAGCCATCTTGTCGAACACTACATCCCTAGAGACCACCACCTTGCCTCCCTTGGGATCATAGAGCCGATAGGCCTTGCTGCCCTCCTCATAGCCCAACAGCACCATGGGCGTGCTTCTGTCCTCCAGCTTGCCGAGGTGGGGCTTTGTGTTCTTGACATGGCCAATGCAGCCAAATGTCCTGAGGAAGGACACATTCGGCTTGCGTCCATGCCAAGCCTTGAACGGCGTCTTGCCCTTCAGGGCCTTGGTGGGCGCGCGGTTGAGGATGAACACCGCCGTGGTCACCGCCTCTCCCCAGAACTCCGCCGGCATCTTATTAACCTTCAGCATCGACCTCGCCATGTCGACCACCGTCTAATTGCGCCTTTCCACCACGCCATTCTGCTGCGGCGTGTACGGCGCGGTGTGGTGGCGCACCACACCTTGATCCGCGCAGTACGCTGCAAACTCTATAGAGGTGAATTCGCCACGCGATCGATCCATCAAGACGCGCAGCCTTCTTGCCGCCTCTCGCGTCTCACAAGACGCCTTGAACTTCTTGACCGCCTCGCCGCCTCATTCTTCTTTGGTCGAAGCTGCGACCACATGAACCGTGCAGTCATCCACCAGCAAGATGAAGTACTTGCGGCCTCCATGCGTCATCCGGCGTGATCGGCCCACGAGATCACCATGGACCGGCTCGAGGGCCTCGCGCCAGCGATATTGCATAACAACAACCTCCTTTGCTTCCCAATAGCGGTACATCACACACGGCTCGTCGGCGTTCTCGATGTGAGGCAGCCAGTCACCATCTCTAGCCAACCAAGAGCGTCGGTCGAGATGGCCATCTGCAAGGCATGCCACGCCCACGGCTCCTCCTCCGTGCGCCGTGTGCGACCAGAGCGGATGGGCTGCTCCACCTTCAAGTCGAGTAGGTACAGCTGGTTCCGGGATTTCTTCACCTTGGCGAGATCGGTTGCTCCGGTCCCCGATCCCGAGGATCGAGACCTCACTGCTGCGGCTCGTCCAAATGCCGATCTTGATGATGTTCGGCCTTGGTTGGGGATGTAGTAGACGTCTGTCAGCGTGTGGTGCTCGCCGTTTTGGCACCGGAAAATGATGGTGCCGCGCCCTCGGATCACCACCCTTGAGCCGTCACCAAACCTCACTGTCCCGGTCACGTTGCCGTCGAGCTCGGAGAAGGCCGCCTTGGAACCCGTCATGTGGTTCTTTGGCCGCCGAGTCCAGAATACCACACGCTCTCGCCACGCCCCCACACGTCCGAGGTGGACTTGGGCGCGCGGCTCGTCGAGGTTGACAGCCTTCAGAGCCTTCCCATGCTCCTCCACCGCTATCACCTCTCCTTCTCCTTGGCCTCAACGTCGCAGCAAAGGTTACGCGAGCGTTGCCATCAGGAGAGTGGCCTCATCATCATCATCATCATCAACCTGCGCCAAATGAGCCTCGGCCTTCTCCTGCTTTGCGATTTGGGCACTCCTTTGCCCAATGGCCTGTCTTCCCGCAATGCTGGCAAGCGTTGGGGTCGATCTTCTTCTTCTTCTTCTCCGAAGAAGCCTTGCCGCGGCGCTTGCCGTCGCCACCGCGGCTGGAAGAGGCTTCCCCAGACTTCTTCTCCTTCATCCGGGCAGCCCACTCCTCTGTCAGCAGCAGCTTGCCGCTGTCCGTCGCTGCTGTGGCCTGCTCCATGCGCTCGTCCACCGACCGCAGACGGCCAGTCACATCCTCAATAGTGAGGGTGGACATGTCCAGCATCGTCTCTATGGAGAGAGCGATCTGGATGTACTTCGCCGGCACGGAGTGGAGGTACTTGGAGACCGCCTCTTCTTCGTCGATGGTGACGCCGTGGCTCCCTAGCTTGCTGATGAGCAACTGCAGGCGGAGGGAGAAGTCCTCCACCGACTCACCATCCTTAAACTTGAGGTTGGCGTACTCCTGCTTCAGCAGCTGGGCCGTCGCCTTCTTTGTGCGATCGGAGTCGACGCGCATCGCTGCAATGGCCTCCCACGCCTCCTTAGCAGACTTCTTCGCCCCAACGGCTCCCGGTACTCCGCAGGCACAACAGCGAGGATGGCCTCCAGCGCTGACATGTCGTCTTCTTCGTTGTCGGTGCCCTTGTCAATGGCATTCCAGAGCCGTCGGGCTCTGACCTTGACCTTCATGGTCACCGTCCACTCGCCATAGTTGTGCGAGTCAGCGTCGGCCAACTGGTGCTGCTGACCTCCCGCACCGTGCGCACAACGACCTCATGTCGTGGCTGGGCAACCCCAACAGCACTGCCGCCTCCCGCAGCTCAGCTGCTGTCAACGAGCCCGGTGCCATCGCCGGCGATTAGTCCGGCGACGCAGGCGAACCTGTACGGCTCCAATATCACTTGTTGGTCCCTCGCCTCCCTGCACACAGGTAAGCAACTTGCTTACCAGCACACACACTCACTCACTATGGCTAGAAGGGGTTGAGCTCAAGCACACACACAACACAAGCACCAGCGCTGGCCAGAGCTCTGCTCTTTTGGTTTGTGGCAACTGAACTGCCTTTTCTCATTGCATAGTGGTAGAATATATACAACACATGTACCAACTATAAGGTACACATGAGCATGGCCGAGTACAGCCCCAACTACTCCTAGTACTACAAGTACCTAGCTTAGATCAGCCCACTACCAACATGGCTGATGTAGTTTCTACCAATTACTAGTACTAGATGGCCTAATGCCTTACAAGCTACAGCACTAGAGAATGGACAGCCATGCTGACCAGTTCCTAATCCTAATCTGCAGCAAAGAGAGAATTGGGGAGCAGCAGATTATGTCTTACATTCAACTGACTTTACAGGTGATCTCCATGCCAGGGCAACAAGAAAAATGTTTTCTTTGTGGTCAAGTTGGGCATTTGGCTGCTGAATGCAGAGGTCCTAGTCAGCCTGATAATTCTGTGGAGCTACCTCCTATTCATAAAAAGAAGTACCAGGTACTCTGAAACTATATAACCGTTTTGATCCAGTAAATTTGCTTCAGATGTGTTGTTTGTAATTCATCTTTTACTCTTGTTGATGTTGATTCACTGTGTGAATATTTTCCTGTTGACAGTTTCTTAACATATGGGTGTTGCGTGAATACCTGGCAAAGGATCTGGAAATTGTAGATGCTCCCTTCAAGATAAACTTCGAACGTCTTATTGATGATTTTGTGTTTATGTGTTTCTTTGTTGGCAATGACTTTCTTCCTCACATGCCAACTTTGGAAATTCGGGAGGTGTGTTGATCGAAAGCATTCATTATATTTTTATGTGCTTTATTTTACTTGCAAGATGATTTGTTCATAAGTCATAACTGTGATTAATTGCCAACTGTATTCTGTAGGGTGCCATTAATCTTCTCATGAGTATCTACAGGTCGGAGTTCACATCAATGGGTGGTTACCTAACTGATGGGGGTGAGGTAAGGTTTGTCAGATGCAAATTCTTGTATTGTTTGAACTTTGAAGCCATGCAATTGCAACATTTTTTGTGACGGCAAATACTTATACTTACAAAATGTACAAAACTAATCCTGTAGTCAGCTTTATAGTGAACTATTTGCTTTCTTTAACCTTGTCATACACACTATGATGTTTGATATATTAATAGTGTATAATCATACTACTATTTAGGGAAACCAATTTAGATAGGAATTCTCTCTTCATGGTTATCCTGTCATCTGTTTTGTGTCAGAATGTTAACACTACATAAGCTAAATGGTACCAATCCCATCAATTTGCAAATTTGGTATTATGTAACCATATTGGTTTAAAATGCAGCAAATTTGGTATTATGTACATATTGGTATAAAATGCAATGTGTGGAATATGGTTGGTAGGATCCAGTGAATTACAGAAATCATAGTAACATTACTCAAGTTGACTGTAGACCAAATTGAACTTCATACCCATTTTCGCCTGATGAGTTATGGGATTGGGACCTATGAACATTTGCTATTGTACCATTGCCTGTGAAAAAGAAACTGTTTCTAGAATGTAGGAAGATGGATCCGATATTTTTACTAAAGTACCAGGTGGCTTTACTGTGTTTGGCAAGTATGTTTGTTACGGTTCGTCATACATCATCTGTGGTTGAATGTTCCTTCCTTGTTTAGTCTGCCCCTCTGGATATCATGCTGCTCAATAGCATACATGCATAAGATAGTTCATTATGCCCACCACTTGACAATTTAAGCCATTTGGGAGAAAGCCCCTCTTCATTCTCTGATGTAATGCTCAGATCAAGTGTTCACAAGTGGAAGTTTGGTTTATGATGACTCATAAAATCATAAGTAAAACCTTCGATCTCATCATTCAGCAGTAGTTGATGCTTTGCCGAATGCACGGATTTCCTTTTTTTTTCTTTTACATGGGGTCAAGGCCTGAACTCTTGACATTTTCTCCATTCTGATGAAAAGGTTATATTGGACCGAGTGGAACATTTCATCCAGTCTGTTGCGGTCAATGAAGAACAAATTTTCCAGAAACGGGCACGCATTCAACAGGTAATTCCTAGCTGGTCTTCATCCAATGTCTTTATTGATTTCTGTATTCCTACATATACTTTATGCATGCAAATATATGATCATCGTGAAGATTGTGAAATCATTTTATAGTGAGATTATGTTACTTCAGTGATTCTAATAATCTTTGTAGGCCAATCATATTATGCTATAATGATATGTTATTGTGCAACTTCATTTTTTAACATGATATGAGCATGTTAAGATGCCATAGCGTTGATGCCTTTTAAAAAATGACTAATTCCTTTTCAGTGAACTTCTCAATTGGAATGAATTTCAATTCCCACTTGAGTATACATTTCCAAATAATTTGAAAATTTATGCCGTTTGAACCTTACTGTATGTGTTAATACTTAAATGTACAACCACAAAAGCTTGTTAGTTAGATCTTTGCATTGATATTGCTATCTTGGAAGACAAATTAACTTCTGATTGCTAAACTGCAGGCACTTGAGAACAATGAAGAGAAGCATAGAATACAGAGAGAGAATTCTGAGGAGAATCAATATGTGGATAAGGTCTATTTTTTGTCCTGTGAACTGTCTGAATATGTTTGTTCAGTAATGTCCGATGTCTCTAATAACTGTAAGGAAGTATTAAAATCGTTGGTTGCCCCTTGTTCTATTTCTTCCTTCAGGTAAAGTTAGGAGAGCCAGGATACAGGGAGCGTTATTATGCTGAGAAGTTTAAAGAAGAGGCGGAGTCAAAACCCATTGATCAAGTTCGGAGAGATGTTGTGAGTTTTCTTGCCAGACACCATTTTGATTTGTGGAATCGCAGCAACTTCTAACTCAATGCCTAAATGTTACCGCTGAAAAATTGACAGTGGATATATGAAAAGGTTTGCCAGATAATAAATACCCAACAACCAGGTTCTGAATGTTGCCCCTTGACAACATAAACAGCTACAACTTACACTTACTAACTGGACTAATATTGATGGTTTTGCGTTGGAAATAGTTATGGACTTGAGTCCACCATCGAGATGCCTCTTTTGGCCTCGCAACAATAGTCTACATTTCCTAACACTTCACAGGCAACAGTCAGCCAGCTGTTTTGACATGTTTGTTGCATGATCAATTTGCCCAATATGCTAATATGGTTGATCTGGCTTTGCTTAGGGCAAAAACTTGACTTGATTTAAATGCTTTTAGTTTGGTTTTGTGAGTTGGTCTCAACCTACTATAAATTATTCACGCCCAAAGCGATTTTGGATTTTTTATTTCTATCTATCTTGTTTAAAAATACTGGTCCCAAGTCAGGGGAAAGGAGGGTCATGACTCATGAGGCTGGACGAGCCGTACTAAAAATCCAGCCACCAGATGAAACCCAAATAAAAGATTGTAGTAGCATGCAAAGTGAATTTACATTTAACAATCGGCATACCAGAGCCATGGCCTACTTACAGCTCCTTTTTTTTAAAAAAAAAAACCACAATCCTTTTTTTTGGTTCATGTTGGGTTTAATCTCTAACCTACCCCAACTTGTTTGGGATAAAGGCTTTGTTGTTGTTTTAATGTTTTCTTTCATTCTGTGGTAGGAATAGGTGGTATGGTTGCCATTTGCTGTCAATTGGTCTCATTTGTCTTTATTTGTCTATTATCTATGCATATTTCAGGTCCAGAAATACGTGGAAGGTCTTTGTTGGGTTATGAGATACTACTATCAAGGTGTTTGTTCATGGCAGTGGTAGGTAAATATTGACCGTCTACTGTGAGAATTTGCTGTCACATTTCCTGTGGAAGATAAAACATCACTTCATTGAATGCTAACGCATTATTCTCCATTATCTCTGACCTAAAACATCATGCCCACTTTAGGTAGGTCCTCTTAAAGTTTCTTAACTCCACAAACAGATACAAGATATGCATCTAAGATCTAAATTTATGGTAACCAGATGACCCAAATTTGGACCTCTGGATTTCATCGAAACCATATGCCGTAATTCTGCACAGATCAATTGGTTCTTGTTCCACAACTCATAATTATATAAAAGTGATAGTCCAGTATGATCATGTCAACATCCTCTTCTATTTACGACTTGCAAACCAAATTTTATGACTGAAGAACAAAAACCTCTGCTATTTGTCTGCCATGCAACAAGCTATGCTGCAGTTGTGGAATCTCCAATAGGCAGTCCAGTTAGATATGGCTCATGTCTTTAGTGACTAGTGCCTGTTTCCTGATATTGTTTTCTGTTGCTTATGCGTTGATGGCAATTTACTGACATTCAGGGTTCACTGTTTTACATAAATCAATAATGTGAGAAACCATTTTTACCTCTGCCATAACCAACATGCATACCTAGCAATAAGGTTGACATGCTCTTCTCAGCAGCACATGTGCTCTTCTTTAGATCAAACGTTAACTGTGGCTTTTCATCCACATGTCAGGTTCTATCCCTATCATTATGCGCCTTTTGCATCTGATCTAAAAGGCTTGGCTGAATTGGAGATAACCTTTTTCTTGGGTCAACCTTTCAAGCCATTTGATCAACTAATGGGAACGCTACCAGCTGCAAGGTCTGCTACCCCTTATGCAAATGAATCCGTTCCATGTTCAAATGGAAAGAATGTCAAACACAATGAGTTCTGAGATGTCCACTATTTATTCTTCTGTAGCTCCAATGCACTGCCAAAATACTATGGGGATTTGATGACTGATCCAGATTCACCATTGAAGTCTTTGTATCCCAAAGGTACCACCACCTATTTTGCTTGCAAAATAAAAGTACCTCAAAACTGCCCCATGCATAGGGTGATTGTGTATCGATAAAATCATATTTATTCATTGCTTCTAAAGCCTTATGTTGCACCTGCAGATTTTGAGATAGACATGAATGGGAAACGTTTTGCATGGCAGGTAATGCAAATGGATAAATCATTCTTCTTTCAGGCTACTGGTTGTGTTATGTAGAAATATTTGTGTTCTCTTTTGCCCAGGGTGTTGCAAAATTGCCTTTTATTGATGAAATGCGTCTGCTTGCGGAGACAAGAAAACTTGAAGATACTTTGACAGTATGTGTCGGTGTTTTGGAACCGGGGGTCCCTCAACCAACGAGTGAATTTGTGCTGCGTGCCCCTAATCCCGGATGGTGGCGCAAAGAGACACAAGGTTTATACTGGTTCAGGCAATCGAGGCCCTACGTCCAGTCCGAGAGATCGATCTTGTATTCCTTGCACCGAGTGCTCGTAGTAGGGGGGTTACAAGCTAGGTGAGAGAGGAACTAGCCCTGTGTCTCGGCCAGGGTGGTGCGGGCTGCTGAGGCGTTGTTCCCAAGCGAAGATATGAGCGCTGCTGTGCCATCGGCTTGTTCGCCTTTTTCCTCCCTAGAATGGCCCCGATCCCTCCTTTTTATACTCTAAGGAGGACCGGGATCGTGCATGTGGTGCTACATAGCGCTTCAGAAATGGGGTGGCGTGTCCGAGCCACATAGTCGACCTCTTGTTGTGGTATGGTCGATGGAGTGGCCCGTCCTTGTCGTCTGCGAAGTGACATCTTTGGTCGACTTTCGGTCTTGCGCATTGGGGCTCCAGTCGATGGAGGACATGGCGGGCGACGTCTGGGTCGCCGTAATGACGTCGTAGGGGCGCTGGCTCTGCAGATGCCGAGGCCGAGCCATCGTGGGGGGCTCGGTGGTCATGGACCCTCGTCGCCGAGCCCGTGAAGCAAACTGTCGAGGCCTTGGGGGGGTTATTGGCCCCTGGTATCGATTCCGAGGCCACAATGAGCCAGACGTGGCTCCCCATGCTGCGTTGTCCTTGGAGCGGAGTTGGCGGCCACAATGAGGCATGGGTGTCAACTATGTGTACGGTGGATAGCATAGTGACGGGTAACCCCGCCCACCGGGGACGTCAGCCATCGCGTGACGACGTCGTAGGGGCCGTGGCTCAGAGGTGCCGAGGCCAAGCCATCGCGGGGCTTTGGCGGACATGGGTCCTCGGGGTTGCCGAGCCCTGGAGCGAGCTAGAGGCCTTGAGGGAATTATTGCTCCTGGTGCGATTCCGAGGCCACGATGAGCTCGACGCGTGGCTCCCCATGCTGCGTTGTCCTTGGAGCAGAGTTGGCGGACAAGTGAGGCATGGGCGTCAACCACGTGCACGCAGGGTTAGTACAATGGCGGGTAGCCCTGTGCGATCTGTCTCTGTCCCATCGGCCATTCTCACAGACTCTTGTCTGCGGGCATGCGGTCATTGTCGGCAAGCGTGCTTGGTCGAGTTGACGCGACACGACGCTTTGCCGAAGGGCGGGGAGAAGGAAGAGGTAAGCGGCGTCTTCGCCGAGCCCCGCCTTTGGCGCGAGACCTGAGGGTCGGTGGCCTCGGCCGAGGCCTCTGGCGGGAATCGACCGAGGCCCATGGAGGGGGGCCTCAGGCGAATCGAGAATCGGTGAGGTCCATGGTGATGAGGCCTCGGGCGAGTGGAGAATCGCCGAGGAGGCCAGCGATGATGAGGCCTCAAGCGAGTCGGAGAATCGGCCGAGGCCATGATGGTGATGGGGCCTCGGGCGAGTCGGAGAATCGGCCGAGGCCCATGATGATGGGGCCTCAAGCGAAGTCGGAGAATCGGCCGAGGCCAAAGCAGCATTAGTGGGTTTCGGTCTTCTGAAATCTAAGCGCTGCTTTTTGATTTTGCTTGGGGTACCCTTCTCACACAGATCCGACAAGAGTGGCCCCGAGGCCCCGGGAGGAGTGATTTCACTTCTTCAGGGCTTTTTCTCTTTTGAGTGAGGTGTTTTGATCGTGATTGCCGGGTCCGTAGGTGCGAAGTTCGGATCATGGGGCCTTGACGATGTTGTGGAAAGACCGGCTGGGTCTCGGCAAAGTTGCGGGAGGAGCCCCGGAGTCTCTCGCCGACGGAGCGAGAGAGAGCGGTCGAGGTCCCCTGCTTTTGGTTCGCCCCTCTGCGTGAGGTTTGATCTACCGAGCCCCCCTCGGTGCGAGCCTAGGTCATGGGTCTCGGCGTCTTTTTGCGAAGGAGCTCCCAGCCTCTCAGACGGAGCAAGAGGGCCGTCGGGAGTTCTTCCGCTTTTTGAACGACCCTCGCGCTTTCTTTTTCGCTCGGAAGGAGGGTTGGTTTTTGCCGAGACCCCTCGTGTGCGAACTCAAGTCATTGGCCCTCGGCAACGCTTTTGCGAAGAGTCCCTTAGCCTCTGCACTTGACGGAGAAGAGGGCCGTCGTGGATTCTCCCGACTTTTTATTCGACCCTCGCGCTTCCTTTTACGGCTCGGAAGGAGGGGTGGAATGTGCCACGCTACCCTCGGTGGGCGCGAGCGATGGCACTTCCGGTGAGTCATTCGGGTAAGTCCGAGTGGAGGCCCGCACTCCGTTCATTGGGGGTCGGCTAGCGGTCCCAGGAGGCGCCTCCAAGAGTACCTGGGAGGGTTTCTCTAGTGGGTGCCGAGGCCGTTCATTGGCCTCGGTGGCTCGGTGCCTCCTCCTGCGGTGGGATCCCATTCGGAGACCTCCCTGCCGGGTCTCGGACACAACATGGCGTCCCAAAGCGTTTAAACTTGCTTGGGCCTCGGCTTTGTAGGCTCGCCAGTGGTTGCCCCCAGCTCTGTTGCCTGGGCGGGCAGTCGAAACCCCTAAGGGCCCAAATTTGAACCCCGGACCGTAACGGGATCGGGTCGCTTGTTTTACCTTGGGTGCGGGAAGAGCCCCGAGCCTCCGCAGACGGAGCGAGAGGGCGGTCGGGGTCCTCCCGACTTTTTGCCTGCCCCCCGCCTGATCCTTTTAAGCTCGGACGGGGGCATTTCTTGAGCCCACTGCAGTGCGAGCTGAGCTGGGTCTCGGCAAAGTTGCGGGAGGAGCCCCAGTCTCTCGCGGAGCGAGAGAGCGGTCGAGGTCCCCTGGCTTTTGGTTCGCCCCTCGCGGCGTGAGGTCTGGGATTGCCGAGCCCCCCTCGGGTGCGAGCCTAGGTCATGAGGTCTCGGCGTCTTTTTGCGAAGGAGCTCCCTAGCCTCTGCACGGAGCAAGAGGGCCGTCCGGAGTTCTTCCGGCTTTTCGAACGACCCTCGCGCTTTCTTTTCGCTCGGAAGGAGGGTTGGTTTTTGCCGAGACCCCTCGTGTGTGCGAACTCAAGTCAGGCTGGGCCTCGGCAACGCGTTTTGCGGAAGAGTCCCTTAGCCTCTGACGGAGCAAGAGGGCCGTCGAGGATTCTCCCGACTTTTTATTCGACCCTCGCGCTTCCTTTTCGCGCTCGGAAGGAGGGTGGAATGTGCCACGCTACCCTCGGTGGCGCGAGCGATGGCACTTCCGGTGAGTCATTATCGGGTAAGTCCGAGTGGAGGCCGTGCACCCGTTTCATTGGGGTCGGCTAGCGGTCCCGGAGACGCGCTCCAAGAGTACCGGAGGGTTTCTCTAGTGGGTCTGCCGAGGCCGTTCATTGGCCCTCGGTGGCTCGGTGCCTCCTCACTACGGTGGGATCCCATTCGGAGACCTCCTGCCGGGTCTCGGACACAACACAGGCGTCCCAAGCGTTTATTGCTTGGGCCTCGGCACATGTAGGCTCGCCCGTAGTTGCCCCCAGCTCTGTTGCCTGGGCGGCTGTCGAAACCCCTAAGGGCCCGACCTTGAACCCCGGACCGTAACGGATCGGGCGGTGCGGTTCCTTTGCTCGAAGGAATCGGGGGTATTCTCTCCCTACTTTATTAATTAATGGCGGCGTCTTTTGAGGCGGCTTTTTTGGGGAGGCGAACGGCTCTGCTCCTGCTGCTCACTGCGGTTGGGCGCGACGTGGCGTCGGCCGACGGACGACTACGCATCGCCGCGCGATTAACGAGGAGGAAGCCGACGGGGCGTACACTGCACGCGCGATTAACGAGGAGGGAGAGCCGACGGGGCGTACTCGCACGCCACGATTAACGAGGAGGAGAGTGTGCGTGGGCGGTAAGACCGGATCCGGATAACCACGCCCGGATTTTTGGGGAAACTTCCCGATTTACGTCGCCCGGCGGTTTCGCCTTGTCACCGCATAAATCGCAAGGGCCTCGCCTTCCCCTTCTTACCTCTCGATTCGCTTTTCTTTGCCTCCGTGCCGTTCTTTGAGAGCATAGAGCCTTGGGGAAGAGAGGGAAGAGGGCGAGAGACCAAAGAGAGGGGGAGAGATTACCGCCCTAGCGGCGTCCTCCGCCACAGCAATGGTGGGTGGTCCCGTCATCCTCCGCGGATCCTCGGGGCGGTCCGACGCGTCAGGAGAAGCCGATCGCTTCGTGGAGGCGGTCTTCTTCGCCGATCACCGACTCCCGCGAGCCGAGTGGATTGCTCCGGAACGAAGTCGGGCCGAGGCAGCCGCGGCACGGCTACGTGGTGAAACTTCGTCGTCTTCCACGGCGAGGCTTTGTCGCCGGTGGATAACTTCATCGCGGCGCTCCCGCACTACTATGGCGTGGAGCCGCACAATTTCAGCCCCAAACTCTATCGCCCAGCGCCATCTTCGCTGCCGCCTCAGTGAGGGGTATCTGGGGATCGCTTCCCCACCGGGAGTTGTGGCTCCACTTGTTCCGGAAAGCGACGCTCACCACCAAGCCGGGGAACGAGGGGGGCTTTGGAAGAAGCGAGAGGGCCGCAATGTACGTACCTTTCACGTGCGCCAAGACCGGCAGCCCCTCTACATCCCGCCCAAATATCAACGTCCAACCGTCGTTGGTATGATTTGGTACGGTTCTATCTCCGCAACGACGGCGGAGGACTTCCCCTTATACCGGGCGGGTTGTAGAGAGTCAACCAGAGAAATGGGGAAGTGCAAGCGTCATCGCGGCCCGTCGGCCAGTGGAAACCGCTCTTGAGGGCCTTGGGAAGCTGCGTGACCACGGCCTTTTCGGCGGCCGTGTGGTCGTGGCGGCTTTTCACCGCCGGAGGGTGTTGCCGATGGCTGGCACGGCGGCGGTGACTCGAGATGACCGGGCGATTCGATCGTCGGTGTCAAGATGTTCTGCCGCCGCCCTTACCGACAGCGAGACCTGCGTCGGGTGAAAGAAAGTGGGACGGAAGCCAAGATCGACGATTTGATGCCG